GTGTGTGTGTGTGTGTGTGTGTGTGTGTGTGTGTGTGTGTGTGTGTGTGTGTGTGTGTGTATTTTTAGGCCATGGCCAAGCTTTTTATCAGGAGCCAGCTGGTTAACAGGCTCATGCATCACCATTTCAAACACTATTATGTACACACTGCACTCTGGCACCTTGTTATGAGCATACACAGTTTTCTGCATGTGTGTATCAGCGTCTGTGTGCGCACATTTCAATCCCATCCGTCTGAAGCATGCCTGCCATTGCTCAGCTCAAAGTATCAGCTTGGCGGTAATAAATTGCCATAATCAAATCTCATTTCTGAAAAATACCTGTGGGAGCAACCAAACAAACAAGGACGGGGGAAAAAAGGGTCTTGTAGGAAGAAAGTGTGAAAAATATAAGGGGCTGCAGCAGTTTGTTTTAATCAACTTGGCATTGAATTAGAGAATTAAACACCAGCTTAGTCCTTGATAGCATACGTGCACGCACATGCACAAACACACACTTTTTATGTACAAACACTCCTACAACATACAATAAACAGAGTTAAGCAAAAACAAATGTACTTGAACACATGGCCTCATCCAATTCTTCTCCAAATACACACCAACCGGAGCAGCTAAAAACACCACCAGTGCACATGCACACACTCACATGCACAACATTGGACCCTTGGTAGCAAGGCTTAACAATACACATGATGCGTATAGTTGAGAAGCATTGCCCGTTTTTGCATTTCATACGAGCTTGGTCTTCAAAGACACACAGGGGAGAGAGTGAAACCATTTATCAAAAAGAGAGGCACAACGGCTGGAAGCACCGCCACCAGAAAAGCCTGTTTATTTTGGCTGCCACATCACTTTGGGACGTCTAAGTCCACCACGGTGTGTATATGCATGTTTGTTTTGTAATGCACACTAAGTGTAAACATTTTCATTTTGGCGCACCTCAATAAAAATCTGTATATAATAATAGAGAAAAAGTTCCAGGGCAATTAAACAAACTGGAGTGATAAGTTTAGTTTGTTATGTGCCCTGGTGAAATTCTTATTCTTATTATTACATTTACCATTTTTATTTGTGTGTAATATGATCTCATGTATAATACGACCCCCCCCTCTTTTTTGAGCTTAAAAAGCATAAAAAAATTTAATCCTCAAACTACCTCCAATTTCATACAGACTTCAAGATTTTTCAGCCTTTGCAGTCTTTATACATATCAGTAAAATGATCATTGGACTGTTCATTTTATTTTAACAACATATGTACTAAAAGGTATTTTGACAACAAATATATATCAGCTGTAGCAGCATCATATGAATTCTGACATTTTACACATAGTCCACCAGGAGGCGCCAACACAAAAGTCAGAGACTTCACATGAGATTTGGACCATCTTCAAGCAGATACAAGCAGATTACTTCCTGCTCGTGAGCGCCCCCTCTGGTGGGGAAACTTTTTTCAGGGATATAAACCTTTTTAGAACACCGGTAGACAGCAGCCATTACAGACGAACATGTTTGTTGTTGTTCCAGCAGCGGCCCGGTCACACGCTAATGTCATTAGTTTGTTATCATTACTAAGGTGCAGGACTACTTTCTTCCCCTTTTTTCACATCATGTCGCCTGCTTGGATCTGTTATTATCTCACTCTGAAGCACGGAGGAGTGGCAGAGGTGAGCTCGTTTCAACTGCTTTTTACAACGCGGTCTCATTTCCGGACTCAATAATTTTGCCGATATTTCAGTTAAAATACATAAGTAAAAATATTTATCCGCGTATAATACTACCCCCCAACTTTATGGATGATTTTATGGATTAAATTTTACGTAATATACTTGAATAAATACGGTAAATGTAAAATTCAACAAAATATTAGCTTTTGCTTGTCAAACGTTTACCTGTTACATGTGGTTTACAGTGACACTGTCCAGTGTGCTGGTTGCAGCTGGAAACGGCTCCTGTTGAGGTCTTGATGACACCCAGATCACTACAATTGCAGGGCATGCAGCCATTTGGATTTGACGCACTGAGACCAAACCAACCAGGCAAACAGTCTGAGCACCGACGGCCTGTTACTGCATCCTTACACGGACACTGACCACCAACCTTAAGAAGACAGACATAGGAAGAAGAAAAATGAGGAGAAACCATGTTAAACCTTTTTTTCAGGATTTCCATCCACTTAAGTGACCCACAATTTGCTGTACAACACTGAATGCATACGTATACCTTGGTGCACACTCTGCTGCCATTGACTGTTCCAGCAGTGTTGCAATTACAAGGTTGACACACATCAGCTGAAGTTGGATCAAAGCCTTCCAGCCTGAAGAAGCCACTTAGACATTGCTCACAGTTCTTTCCTTAGAGTAAGAGGAATAAACACAGAGTGGGAAAAAAAGAGCAATGTGAGACCTTTATAAACTTTCAAGTGTGTATAAACATGTTGGTCTCAGACTATAACATAGAATGACTTAATTGTTAAATGATATAGAGGTCCAAGCGCCAGGCCCGTGTTTGTATTGTCCGAAAGTCTTCATTTTATTGATGGTAAAGAAACATAAACGTAGCTCGTGAACTGTCAACTGAAAAGATAAAGGGCACCTGTGGTGTTGTGCATGCAGTGGTCACAGACTCCTCCTCCACCTTGATAGTGCTCATCTGGTTGGTCATCAGCTAGGATGTCATAATGACAAGTCAAGGCGTGGCCATGACACTGACAAGGTCGGCAGTTCATTGGCTGGAGTTGGTCACCTGACCTGAATGGTTTGTCATTGTAGAGGGGAGCACAACGCTGGCACTGTAAAGATATAAATACATAAATAAACATTCTTTACAGCAGCAGGTGACTTAGTCTTGCCCTTTCTACAGCGAGAAATTGAAAAAAAAAACTTCTGTTGTTGAATGACATTTTATTTTACTTATATTACTTTTAAAATAATATAAAGCATTCGGGAACAATGCAGGAGAACTGCTGGAGTTTTTTTGTGTGTGGTATAAATAACTTCATAGTCTGCTTTAATTTTGGATTTCAGCAGTTCAGCAGTTAAAGGGTTCCTTTGACCATATGTTCAGGAAAAAAAAATCTCTGCATCAAGAAACAATAAATGTGCGCAAAGTTTTTCCCATGATAGGTAAAAACCCTTTTATTTATTTAGTTATTCATTTATCTTAATAAAACAAAGACTGAAATAAGGCACAGTGTTGGGGAGAGAAATTTACTGAATGCGGGGGGAAATGTAAAGAGAGAAGTTAGTGGTCCGTGTAACTAAATCTAAAGAGAGAAAAGCACAATACACGTAACTCGATAGAAAAACACAAAGGTATTCTCTAACATATAGGGAACAAGCACAGACACACACACACAGAGCAAAATCAGACATCTAATGAGAAGTGACTTGCAACAGGCAGAACTTTCACACAGTCCCACTTTCATGTCATAACAAACATTCTAAGGTGTGTGTAAAGGAAAAAAGGGGGAAGGGATGGGGTGCGTTAAAAATGCTTTTTTTGTAGCAGAAAACAGCAGAGGCTAGAAGCAGCAAGTACAAGTCCTTTGATTTTGTTCAGCAGTCAGTACAAATTATGATGGACAAGGGGGGCATCAAATGGCAGGATTAAAAATGTATTAAAAAACACAGGAGTTCCTCCCATGTGTGACACATGCAGGCCTGCACTGGGTCTATTATGTACGACACGCAGATAAAAAGAAGCAGTGGTGGGGGATTTCAGGGGGGAAAAAGGGGAGGAGGGGCAGAGTGAAAAAGAAAACTGGGGGAAGGGGCCCATTTGTATTTCAGAAAGATTGGCATAAAAGGTAAAAAAAGAAAGAAAAATGACAGTCAAATAGAAAAAAAAAATAAGTCTGAGATTAATGTCTGCAAGTGTGAGAGATGGAATTAAGGCAGACAGTAACAAGTAGAGGAAAACAATATTGGGACAATTGAAAATAAATAACTATTATATTTTACATCATTCATGTGGTCAGAGGTGGACTGTTGGGTGCGTATAAATGACAATTCAATTCAAATTCAATTCAAATTCAAAAATACTTTATTATTAATTACAATATTCATAAATTCAGAAGTATTTAAACTTTACATCAAAACAATTTATTCAGTTAATCTCAGTGACATCACTAAACTATGACTGTTTGACTATTGTGTGTCAGTGGTAGAATGGTGCTCCTCTTGCTGAGAACTAAATGTGAAAAAAAAAAACCTATGGAAGCAGCAACTAATTCTATAGAGACAAGCTGTGTACACAACAACGAAACAACATGGAAAGAAACACACAAGAAGAACAGAGAAAGTGGCCTGAATCGTGGAATTCCTCCAGAGTTCTGTGCTGTTTGCACTTTCCTGTTTATTGTCAGTCTACCTGTGCATCCATCTGCCACCATGTTTGGAATCAAATCTATCTGTTGTTATGTGTACAGCAACTTCCTGCCTGTGCTTTTGTTCATACATCATCTTCAGTTCAGCCCATCTGTTATTACCTGCTTGTCTATCTTTGGCTCTGTGCTAAAAACTCTCACTTCAAAGTTCATTTTTTCTTTGCTACATAAAACTTTTTATGCCATCCATTAAGGCCGGCACCATGAGCAAAGGTGGTGTGCTCCATTCTTCCTTCCACTCATTTCATTCCTTTAACATCCCCTCCTTCTTGTCAATGTTTTTTTCCCTGACTTTCCTTGCCCTGAAAAACAAATCACTCTGTATATCTCTCCCAGTTTTCCATCTCTCCCCTTTTGTGTACTCGCTTCCCCCGTCTCACTGTCCCCCAACTGCTTGTTCTCATACCCAAAGTGAGTATGTGAGAGGAAAATATTACCATACTAAATGAAAGAGAGGATTTGTTCTTTCTTCTCTTTTCTTTTCATTCAGCATTGCGTTACCTTACCTTTCTCCCTGCCTGCTAATTAGTCGAGGGACTGGTGTTTGGGAGTTAAAAGAAGAGCGCACACGTTCAATTCTCTTCCACATACAAAAGGTTTTGATGGCGCTCCATCATTTACACACTGTAGCAGCACAAAAAGAAGACTGAGTCAGTGTGATTTTAATTCTCTTGCTTCTCTTCATCTTTTCTTTTTTTTTTTGTGCAATTGGCCACTCCACAGCCACAGTATATCAAAACTAAAAACAGCAGGAAAGTATTGTGTTGTGTTGACAGCAGGGAAATTATGTTAGTGGTTAAATTTAAGTTTCTGTTTGCAAAAGTGGTTTAAAAAACAGTTTTTTTTGCTTTTTCTTTAAACAAATTCAAGACATACAGTAATAAATATGTGCAGTAAAACATCATTACTCAGCAAATTCAATCAGCACTTCTTGTTTTCTAAGCAGATTTGTTCATGTTTTTCCTCTGGCAGGGAAAACGGCAAGTGTGTGTGTCAGTGTGAATGAAAGTATTTTGGACTGTGACGCAGAGGAAAGAATAACATATTTTCACTCCGACTGGACAAAACCTGCTGAGTGAGGAGACTGCTCTAATGGATATGTGGACATTCAGATGGCCTGTCATAAGCATCCGTGCATGTGTGCGTGAGTGTAAATCCACCGGGACAACTCATCTTATCCTAAAATGCCATGACCAATTTCACGCTCTCACAGGAAAGGTCATGGCACTGGCTTGTGTATGTGTGAGAATGTTTGTGCGCACACACCCATTTTGTGTGTATCTACAGAAAAGTTAACCCGGTTAACCCAAGTGCAGGTGAAAATCTGCTGCTGAAGCAGACTTGGGCTACAGAGATTCTAGGCAACATCACTTAACGTCACTTCCTATCAAAATCTATCACACATATGGATGCAAACACAAAAAACAGCTTCTCTGTTCACTTTGAGACTTAGAATTTATGTCAATACCTTTTCATGTGACATTTCTTTGTACGGTGTTGCTCAAGTTGCCTTCACGCAGTTAGGATTGTAGGTATTTTTTTTTTTACAAAATGCTAATCTTATTTCAAATAAAACTTTTGAGTAAAAATAACACTGTTAAAAGAGCTTCAAATATTTTCTTTAACTCATACCAGACAAAAAACATAAAAAATAAAATAAAACAACACAGTAAACACTCAGAAACAGTTCTATTATTTTTGGCAAGTTTGCAAGAAAATCTGATGCAACACTTATATGTATTCAGGGTGCAGATGAAAAACAAAGCTAGGAAAAGTTAGCAACATTCAATTTTAATGTTTTGTAATATCACAGCATGTAATCCAAGTATATATTAATCAGGCTCACAAAAGTCCATTTTAAAGATGGAAAATACTTTGTGTAATGTTTTGTACGATTCATTATATCATAAAGCTTTCAGACATTTGTTGTGAGGAGATACAAAGACAGAGTGACACAATGAGCGATCAAGTCTGACACAAAGTGCACATAAGAAAAAAATCAAAGGAAAAAAAAGATCAAGTGAAGAGGTTGCACGTGCATTTGTGCACATATGAGTTTTAGTGTGTGTGTGTGATAGTTTGTGTGGGAGAGTTTTAAGTGTGTGTCTTCTAAGGCCCCTGTTGATCATTTTGACACGTCTGAGCATTTCTGTCACTTTAATGTCACTGTGGAAATTCTACAGATTAGTACAACATCCGTCATGGTGCTAGGCCGATGCGAGTCAACAGAACGCATGCAATATTAAACGCTAATATTCCCCACAGCCTTTTATGCTCCAATATTACAGAGACAGAAAAAAGGTCCTGAATATTCACTCGGAGAGATGACATAGACAGGTTCAGAAGGAAAGCGCACACAGGTGCATAAATATTCACACAAAAGAACTCTGTGTAGACAAATGTACACGTTGCACGGTGTATTTCAGAGAATTATAACTCATTTAGAGAATATGTTACATTACAGACAATGTTGTGCATAATACATATACATATGTCTAGATCTATTGCATCTTCCAACCAAAAAGAGAACAGATGCTGGTGGAAAAAGAAGGATCAAGAGTGGAGGAATCGATCTGAGTTAGGAAAAGAATTATTGTGTGCAAAGAAATACACACAAACAGACACACAAACAAACAAGAATAGTTAAATGAAATTATTTCAGATATTACAATGTACAGAAATAAAAAGTTGTAGGGGGAAGGGGCGAATGGAAAACTGTTTAGTGAAAAAAAGGAAAAAGCAAACAGAAAGAAAAAGAGCTGATTAGAAATGGATGCTGAGGGAATGTCATTGTTCTAGTCGATTTGAGACATTATTTAAACAGCGACTCGTGAGATACGATGGAGTATAATAGAGACAGAGGGACTGACAAAGAGAATGAAGCCTGTTCAAATACCTATGAGAAGACAAATGCAAGAAAAAGAAAAAGGTAGAATAAGAGGAAAGCAGATATTTCTGTTAATATGGAGTCCCTGTGTGTTCATATTTCAGTATGGAGTTTGTGTACGTTAAACACATACTGTAAAGAAGAAAGTGTGTGTTGGTTTTGCTTTAAAGTAACATCAATAGTCAGATTTCTGCTAGTTGAAAACTGTAAAAACACCATTGTGCTCTGGTTCCTTCAACACACAAACATGCACACTAACGCACAGACACTAGTGTATGAATGATACATAAGTGGTAAATAATGTAGGCTGTGCTGTGTGACAGTAAGTTGAGGCAGTCGTACCTGAATTTTTCACTGCTGACCAAATGAAGGCTTTTGTTGGGATGATGACTACTATTACCTGACAAGGTTTATTATGCTTTTATTGAGCCTGGTCAAAAGGTGGTAGATTGAATCAAACTACTTATATTTTAGCAGTATGTAGATACT